GGTGGGTTCTACTTACCTTTACTACTGGTTCACATCGCGCACACACATGCTCTTCTGCACATGCGCAGAAGCTACTTATGATGATGTCCGGGTCAGTGGGCAGAGCCTCCCACTGGTTTTACTACCGGTTCTTGCGAACCAGTCCGAACCGGGGACAACCCACCACTGATGTCCCCTTAACTATTTATTCAGTTCTCAATGTATCCATATGGTCCCTAGATAGAGTTGTTGGTGGCTGCTTGATATCTCTGCTCTGCAAAACATTCTTTTAAATTTATTTTAATTTCAGCTGTAAAATTTCAGAATACTTTGTTTCTTAGGCATCCTCTGCAGTCCATGTTGACATTGTTAAGACAAACCACAGTATTTCTGTGTGTGAAATAAATGTATTGGCAATTGTGGAAGATCCCTGGTTCTGCCACAAGCGATAAATCAAAGAGTTAATTTTCTGCCTATGCAAGAAACTATCAGATTATTAGAGCATCAGAAACATCAACAAAACATCAAAAATGTTTTTATTTATGTACCCCTCAACTTCCTAAATTTTTGACCTAAAACTGTCATCCTACTAGTTTTCCAATGAAACATGAGGTGAAAAATTGGTCAACATTGAATTGATCAAAAAATCATACAGCTTTATTTTTTTACATAAGCATAGTCAGTTTTTAGAACAAAAATCGAGTTTCTTTTAAATCCAAAAGCCATCCATTAATACAAATCTATATTTCATGCCAGTATTTTACTTAGCAATTCAGCTTTTTATTCACTTTTGCAATATATAAAACTTAGCTGTTATATCTTTGTCCTTTCCTCATTATGGAAGATTTTATAAGGGCATAGTGGGGAGGGCTGAGAAATAATATGTTGCTCTCAGTCTTAGGAACAGAACCTCAGCTTTGTTGTAATATTGTGCAGTTTTGCAGATTAAAATACTATATATTGTATTGTTTGCTTAATTGCAAATGGCCCTATATATTGAAAAATTGATAATATATATAAGGACTGCTTGTGTAACTTTCAGTGAAAATTGGCATCTCTGTCAACAGCTGTCAATTAAAAACTATATGAAACAACTAGAGATTGTTTCCAAAATTATGAATATCAGGACTAGGGAGTCAGTGAGCAAAGAAAATATTAAATTGATAATAGTCATCACCACAGGCAAACTGTTTACATTTTGGTGCATCCCCACACAACAATGCAATCGTTCCTATTAAGCCAGCTGCTTTTCCCAAAAATTTAGTGTTACTATTAAAAATGTTTTGAGAATTTAATCCACTATTGAATATGAACATTAACTCTGTGACAGAGTTTACAGCTTTTCTAACCAAGCGTTCTCATGTTTTTATGTTCTGTGGACATTATCTTCTAAAGCTTCTGCACCCGGGATAAATTCTTTGTGTGTCAAATCACACTTGGCCAATAAAGTATTCTACTCTTATTCTATTGCAATTCCAGTAACTCCCACTCCACTCCACTCCATTCTTTCAAAAGACCTTTGCAGGACTGCTCAATAGCGCTTAGGACACCAATGGACCCAAATCCTTTATCTTCACAAACCACCAGGGGTCACTGGACCACTACTTAGTTGGAATCACGAGACAGCTGACGTCTTGCGGCTATTTGCTCTTTCCTCAGCTCAAACCAGTAAAAAAAAGTGCAAAATTCAGTACTTTTATAGCGTTCAAAGCACCTCACGTACTGCTCCTTATCAAGGGTTTGACAGGAAGTCTGTCGTCTAGTTATTGGCAATAACCTTATAGTTCATAGCGCGGAAAAAGTTTCCTTCCTGCACTGGGTTTTTGAACCTATATTAGGAAAGGGATGCAGGTACATGTAGTATTTTATTACCCCCCCCCCCCCAAAAAAACCACATCCACTTCCTAACTACCATCTTAAGTCATAGATCAAAGACGTTTTGGAGTTAGATGACATCTAGATGAAATCAGCACTGGATCAGTATTTCGCCCCAATTCTAAGCGCTTTCTGGAACCTACTGAAAACAGATCTTTTCCAGAGGAAATTTGTGGACCGATGCCAGACTCTGCATGGGTTAATTCTGTAATTCGGCTTGTAGATTTTTTTTAAAAAAAATTATTTGCTCTTTTATCATTCAGTGAACCGCCGAGAGTCTGCTTGTGATTGCAGCAGGCTAAAATGTGATACTATAATAAACAAGTATGTTGTAAAGAACGCAGTCGTACAGCCAAAAGAAATGGGAGACGGGGTGGTTCCTGAATGCGTGACCTGCCTACCCCACTCCTGTTCCTTCTTTCGCCGCGGGATCCAAAAGACTGGACATTAGGACCACAAGGAGGGCCCTTCAATAAAAGCACCTTAAACCTCTCCCAACACCGCGGCCGCGGATGGGGGTTGGGGAGAGCTGTACGCACGTCCTGGGTGCAGCCGCGGGACAGCGCATGCTTCCAGGGTTGGCGCGGTGGCCCCACTGCAGCGCCCTCCCTTGCTGGCCGCCCGGTGACTGGAGCTCCTGGAGTGACGTCACGGCCGTGCGCACTTTGCGGTTGTATTGTTGAAAGCCGATAGATAGAAGGAAGGAGCAGGCAGAGAGCTCGCGGGGAGAGTGGACGGCGGAGGGCAACCTTCGTGAGACAGGTAGGCGCGGCTGCTGCTGTTGCTGCTGTTGGGGACGACGCGAGGGCTGGGACTGGAGGTTCGGCATCGCCGTTGGAGAAGACTCCTGGGAAGCTCCGGGTTTGGGGGTACGTGCATATCGAGCCTAGTCTGCCTTAAGACGCCGGGGAGCTGGAGACCAGATTCGGACCCTTATACTTGAGTGTGAAGGCCATTGGGTGGCTGCAGCTCTGCGGCTGCACTGGCGGCGGCTGCTGTGCTGGTGGCCTCTCGGTGGGGCTGCCTTTCTGGTTCTTCGCCCCAATTGGGCTCCTTTACTGGAACGGAGGCTTAGAGAGGCAGGCCAGGTTTGTGCTCTGCTAGTAATCATATCGCGGGGTTGAGGAAATCGTGGAGGAGAAGAAAGGCGAACACGTTTGGGGTGCCCGCCCGTACTTCGTCAGGTGTATCACCTCTGAAAAGGGACGCCACAATGCGGCTGTTACTCTAAAAGTACGGTTCTTCTGGAGCTAAGGAGACCATTTCCCCTGCCAGCATTTCCAGGAAGAGGGTGGGGGGAGGGGGGTGCGTTCTAGCTCCTTGTGACTTAGCGGTTTTACCAAGACCTCTTTGTTTGGAGGGCAGCAGGAAGAGGCCTCTGGGCAAAGGTTGAATCAAAGTGGCAGTAGGATGTACAATAACACTTCGTGGGTGGGTGGGGCGGGGCGGGGCAACTGTTGCTTATTTCTTTGAGAAGGATGGCACAGGAGGCTAAATAACTCGCTCTGTACTGTACTATTAATGTGGTACTGTAAAGCTTAGTCTGGCTTAGGGCCCAGTCGAGCTGTCTCAGCTTAAATTATTTTACAGGGTGGCCATGAAGATAAAAATCCAAGGGGAGGATGTGTGATAAAAAAAAGTGCAAAAAGTTCTTCAAGAGAGAGAAAAATTAATATTTTCACACACCCATATTAATATATAGCAATTTGAATAAGTGTGAGATATAATTTTGTTTTATTGTTTATTGAAAATGTTAGGTATGGGTAAAATTTACCATAATGCTCATGCCAGTGCTGATCTCATTTGATTGGCAAGCCTATATTACCCCATAGCCTTTCCTAATAACAGCCTTGGAGACGATTGGCCTGCAGAATACACCTCAATACTAGTAATTATGTCTCTTTATATAATCTTTTCTGTCTCCATTCCCCATCTTGTGACTCTTTATTTTTCTCCCCTTTGAATAAGAAGTAAAATTATGCTGTTTGCTTTTTCTTTTCAGATGCTTTCCTGTACTTGGGGAGGGTTCTCTTCCTGATTTTCTTTAAGATTTGAGATGAATATCTGTCTATCTTCCACCTATATTGCTTCAAAAACAAATTAAACAAATTGATTTTGGGTCAAAGATAAGATGGTCATTTGTTAATTATAGTCAATGTGTTCATTAATTGCTGTTACTGTGTGACTCATATATGCTGGATCCAGTTGTTCCTTAATTTAATTGCAGCTTTACAGGACACTTGTACATTTTTACTGCTGAACTTCAGTAGAAATGTTGTAACTTCATTATGAATCCATTATGGACTGTCACAACCATTGAGTTTCCTTTTAATCTTCTTCATTCCTGTGCTACTGTATTGATTTCAATGCCTCATATTTATTACCAAAGTATGTTTTCAATAACTGAATAACATGTAATGTTAAACTTAATTATTATAAAATAAGACCGAATAAAAGCCATCACTTGCACAGCAGATAAAATAGTATTTAAAAAAATAGTATAAAATAGAAGAATATATAAAAGAGAAGAAAAAAAATAAAATCATTGTTCATAAAAGTAAAAAAAAAACTATTAACAAAAAGGACTAAGAGGAAGAGATGCCTGACTTTCTCTCTTTGGTCTTGATGCCTTCCTGGAATGGGATAGTCATTTATGAAAGCAATATTGTATGGCTTTGTGATTCGTGACTTTATTCTGAAGATACAAGTGGTATCCTTTTGTGTTGAGGGTCATTGACAACTTCTTATAGGGAACATTAGTGAAGGAGTAGCAGTGTAAAGATGTAAGACAGGAAAGTTTGACTTTGGAAAATGTAGACACAAACATTGCCACCCTTCATTTAAGATAAATATTGGGGGTAGCTAAAAGATCTATTATGACCATAGGGATGTGTATGAGCAAAAGAAGTTGAATATTGGTATCAGCCTATTGAGCCCAAACCTATTATAATATTTATATCTCTCTGACTTGGATAACATGGGAGTCTTAAGAAAGACAAACTTTGCTTACTGTAAACTTGCTATTAACTATTGGTCTTGTGAAACTGGTTCATCAAGTGCATGGCTGAGCTATGTCACAACTGAAATAATAGTTACCTCTCTGGTTAGGGAATGAGGGGGTAGGTCAGTTTCAACTACTGGGGCCATCTGTTTCTCTTAGTACAACCTTCCTCATGAGGTTTCTGTTGTAAGAGTTAAATGAGTCCATGTAAGCTACCTGGCACTTCTTAGACCCTAAGACCTAGAGGAATAGCAGGTCAAGTATAATTAAGAAATAATTAAGAAGCAGAGTAGCTTTTGGCTTTCATATGTGACAGAAAATGCTGAGGAGTTCATGGAGGAAGGACCATCAGTTCTGCAAGGAGCTTTTCTGACCCAAACACATAGTAATCAGGTACATGGTGAAAAGATTTCTGCTAAAGGCTCATGGTGAATTAGATGTCTGTGAGGGAACACAGGCAGCATTATGGTGAGATTGGCAACCAGGCCTCTCTGGATAGATTGTGAGGTTGCCCATTTGCATTATGGACAGGTGTTCCTTGTGAGTAAACAGCAGGAACTGAGCTTTCTACAACAGATTCATGAGGTAGTTGGAAGTCAAAGGATTATATCCCACAAAGTTCTGCTGGACCTCATTTCTTAATCACTTTTGGAAATTGCCAATTATTTTTCAACTAGTGAGATCCTTCCAAGTGACAAGTTTTAGAGAATGCACTGGATTAGTTTCCTTTAATCCTTAACAAAAGAAGTTTAAAAATAGGTTTAAGGATATTGCTAACTTAAAGATAAATTTAAATTTTTTTTTGGAATAAGGTGATTAGAGCATTGATTAAATCATTGGTTTTGGAAAGTTATAAATGGACTAAGGGTTCAGATGAATTTGAAATAAGGTTTTGAAATTGATTGTGAGGATCCTTTCTATGGGAAAATGCAATTGTTTTGAATTCTTGAAAAAAAACATGGTAGGATGGGAATTTGAACAGTGGATGCTAGAGGACCAAAGATTACATTAAAACAGAAGAATGCTTATTTTTGACTATTAATACAGAATGGCGCAAAATACATCAAGTTGACCATTTCTGAGGATATTTCTGAGCAATGCATCCAGAAGTTAATCTTAAAAGTGTCTGCCATTATAAATAGATCACTTTTAAGACATGTTGTAGAACAGGAACAGATTTTACTGGACAGGACTAGGACTGATTGGAAAATGGATTTGAAAATGATAGGTTGAAATAGTGAAATGGAAGATATTACACTGGATATAAAAATGAAACCAGCGGATGCCTTAATAATTAAAAGGGATATGCAAGTATCAGGTGTGCCTCCTTTCAATAGTCAAGAAAGAAAAACCCCAACTCCATTTTCATTGAGAAAGGTACTTTTACTGAGTATGAACTGAATGCAACCATAGAAAAGCAAGATCTGAAGCATAGACATGAAAATCACAGATAGAAAGCATCTCCTCCCAACTGTCCAGCGTATATCATCCAATCCACAGGCCCTCCATGGGTCATGTGGGAGCACACGTCTGGCAGTGTCATCCTCCTGATATGCCACGACCGTTGACCTTGAAATAATATCAACTTGAAAGAATTGCAGCAAAGATTCACTTTCGTTTTCCTCCAGCATGCTTCCCCCCCCAAGAATCCCCCTAGCACCCCTTCCCCTGTTCCCATGGCAGCCGATCAAGTAAGCATCGAAAGAGCGGAGGCTGACAGCAAGTGGCAAACTAAAAGAGTGACTTAGATAACTTTCTTATCTTAGATTTACAAAAGAGATCTGATAAAGTTCTGAAGGATTTTTTGAGAAATTGAAATTCTAGGACCGTGATGGCGAACCTATGGCACACGTGCCACAGGTAGCACACAACACCCTCTCTGTGGGCACGTAAGTCGTCGCCCCAGTTCAGCTCTGCTGCGCATGTGCGCACACCTCCCGCTGCCCAGCTGGTTGTCTGGTCTTTGCTGCGCATGCACGGGTGGTGGGGCACGTGCATGGGGTGCATGTGGGGGGCTATGCGTGTGGGGCTGGGGTGTGTGCAGGGGGGCCACGTGCGAATGTGCGAATGCACATAGGACGGGCAGGGGGCATGCATGCATGCACGGAGTGGGGTGCATGTGCAGGGCCTGTGCGCACATTGCATTTTGAGGGTTCGGGAATGTGCACACGCATTCGTGCACATGCTTTGGGCACTCGGTCCAGAAAAGGTTAGCCATCACTGTTCTAGGACATTATTTGAAGGGATTAAAGTTCAAGATTATTAAAAGAAAGGGGAAGTGATATAAAGTGGATTTAGTGGAATGAGGTTAAAATACAGGTATTCCTCGACTTACAACCACAATGGAAGGAAAATTTCTGTTGCTAAGCAAGGCACTTGTTGAGTAAGCTGTGCCCCATTTTATGACCTTTTTTGCCACAGTTGTTAAATGACTGCAGTTGTTAAGTGAATCATATGGTTTTTAAAAAACCATATGATTTCCCCTATAACTTTGCTTTTCAGAAGCCAGCTGGGAAGGTTACAAATTGTGATCACATGACTCCAGAACAGTGAAACACTCATAAATACATGCCAGGTGTCAAGTGTCCAAATATTGTTTATATGAGGATGCTGCAATGGTCATAAGTATGAAAAATGGTCACAAGTCACCTTTTTCAGTGCTGTTGTGTTTGCAAAGATGAAGTCAGGAAAACTAAGTCTCAGAATGAAGTAAGATTTGCAACAAATGCCAAAAATAATTTTAAAAGTTTCTTTCAACATGTAAAAAACAAGAAAAAGTCAAGAAAATGATTGGTTCACTAATGGGAGAAGATGGCAAGGAAGTGACAGGCTCCAGGGAGACAGCAGAACTGCTTAATTTGTTCTTTGCATCTGTCTTCATGAAAAAGGAAAAGATAGCCCAACCTACCAAAAGCAGAACCATAAAAGACAGATTAGGAATACAAATTAAAATTGGTAAGAAAATGGAAAGACAACTCCTATCTACCCTAGATGAGTTCAAATCACTTTTGAATAGTTTTATTCTCCTTATGACAATCCGTGAACTAAGACTGATTCTTGGAAAACATGTTTTCAGAGTTTCAAATAATCTTGTATTCACTTGTATATTTATACTCCAAACACCAAATGTTTGAATTTCAACATATAGTACAGTTAGGGCCCATAGGTATAGTTGCAAGAAAAAGTATGTGAACCCCTTGGGATTACGTGGAGTTTTGCATGAATTGGTCATAAAATGTGCTCTGAACTTCATCTAAGTCACAACAGTAGAAAAACACAGTCTGCTTAAAATAATACTACACAAACATTAGATGTTGCCATGGTTTAATTGAACATAACATGTAAACATTCACAGTGCAGGGAGGAAAAAGTATGTGAACCTTTGGACTTAATAATTGGTTGACCCTCCTTTGGCAGCAATAACCTCAACCAAACGTTTCCTGTAGTTGCAGATCAGACCTGCACAACGATCTGGAGTAATTTTGGACCACTCTTCTTCACAAAACTGTTTCAGTGTAGCAATATTCTTGGGATGTCTGGTGTGAATCGCTCTCTTAAGGTCATGCCACAGCATTTCAATCGGGTTGAGGTCAGGACTCTGACTGGGCCACTCCAGAAGGCGTATTCTGTGCTGTTGAAGCCATTTTTATGTTGAATTACTTGTATGCTTTGGGTCATTGTCCTGTTGCATCACCTATCCTCTGCGGAGCTTCAGTTGGCGGACAGATGGTCATACATTTTCCTGCAAAATGTCTTGATAAACTCTGGAATTCCTTTTCCCATCAATGACAACAATCCGTCCAGGCCTTAAGGCAGCAAAGCAGCCCCAAACCATGATGCTCCCTCCGCCATGTTTTACAGTGGGATGAGGTTTTGATGTTGGTGTGCTGTGCCTTTTTTTCTCCATACATAGTATTGTGTGTTTTTCCCAAACAACTCAATTTTGGTTTCATTTGTCCACAGTATATTTTGCCAGTAGTGCTGTGGAACATCCAGGTGCTCTTTTGCAAACTTCAAATGTGCTGCAATATTTTTTTTGGACAGCAATGGCTTCCTCCGTGGTGTCCTCCCATGTACTCCATTCTTGTTTAATGTTTTCCTTATTGTAGATATGTCAACAAAAATGTTAGCATGTGCCAGAGATTTCTGTAGATCTTTAGCTGACACTCTAGGATTCTTCTTTACCTCATGAAGCATTCTGCGCTGTGCTCTTGCAGTCATTTTTTACAGGACGACCACGCCTAGGGAGAGTAGCAACAGTGCTAAACTTTCTCCATTTGTAGACAGTCTGTCTTACCGTGGACACATGAACATCAAGGCTTTTGGAGATACTTTGTAACCCTTTCCAGCTTCATGCAAGTCAACAATTCTTGATCGTAGGTCTTCTGAGAGCTCTTTTCTGCAAGGCATGGTTCACATCAGACAGTGCTTCTTGAAACCAGTAAACCCAAAACAGGTGTGTGTTTTTAAAGGGCAGGACAGCTGTCAGCAACACATCCAATATCATCACACTGATTGGAGTCAAGGTTGGCTCACTCCTCACTCCAATTAGCTCTTGGAGAAGTCATTAGGCTAGGGGCTCACATACTTTTTCCTCCCTGCACTGTGAATGTTTACATGTTATGTTCCATTAAACCATGGCAACATCTAATGTTTGTGTAGTATTATTTTAAGCAGACTGTGTTTTTCTATTGTTGTGACTTAGATGAAGTTCAGAGCACATTTTATGACCAATTCATGCAAAACTCCACGTAATCCCAAGGGGTTCACATACATTTTCTTGCAACTGTAAATAATTACCACCCGGAAACAAATCTGTTTTCTAGCTGTTCCAGGTTTTCCCCTGTATTATACTTACTGGAAGAGGAAATGAGATAAAAATTAAATATGAATTGCTTTGAAGGTTTACGAGTGTAGAGAAGAGAACTGACATAATCTACTGAGCAGTGTCAGGAAGATATTTACTTACAAAACAGTGAAGATAAAACTAAAAAAATTGGTAAACTTGCAAGGGTCACAGTAAAATCTGTTCTTACCTATTTCAAATTGCCAGTTTGTTTTTGTACAGGAGTAGAAAGCAAAGTACAATTGCTTAGTCATACATAGCAACATTGTTGATTGCTTTGGAATACAGAGCATCCAACTTTCCAATGCATGACTTTTTTTCTTTTTACTTATATCCACATTTGTGGTTCATTGATTGCATCCAGTATGATGTATCACTAGCAATGCATTGTAATAAATTTTGAAAATAATATTAAATATTTTCATTGTTTTTTTTAATAAATGAGCTTTAATATACTGTACAGGAATAGGCACCTTATTTATAATTTTATAATTTTAGTAATTGTTTTTATTTTAGGGTTGTCAGCCTGATATGGTGTTGATGCTTCAGCTAACATCATCTCTGAAGAATATGCACAGTTCTTTGTGGATAAAATTACTCAGACAGTTCTTGGCTTGATAACATTTTGGGTAGTACAGTATTTGACATGTAGGGCAATGACATCTATCTGGATCAATTTCATGTATAGTTCAGTAGGAATTATTCAAACGTAGTCTGACTTGTTAGGTCACCAATGGTCAAACAACTGCTATAATGTTGAAAACGGCAACATAAATATATCAAGTTGGCAGAATTATAGAATTAGATTTGAATCTTCATTTGGGACTCCCATGTCGATTTCTCTGATTCAGTGTTGTGTAGTAGGTAAACAATGCTTGAAATAGGTGCATTTTTTTAAATTTTTTTAAAAATTTGATTTATATGCCGCCCTTCTCCGGAGACTCAGGGCAGCTTACAATGCGTTAAGCAATAGCCTTCATACTTTTGTATATTTTATACAAAGTCAGCTTATTGCCCCCACAATCCGGGTCCTCATTTAACCTACCTTAGAAAGGATGGAAGGTTGAGTCAACCTTGAGCCTGGTGAGATTCGAACTTACAGTAATTGCAGACAGCTGTTGTTAATCACAATGTTTTTAGTTAGCTGAGCTACCAGGCCCGTTTTTCTTCTAATAAAAAGATATTTCATCTTTTTATTGTTTAATATATCACCAGCCAGTCTTCTTCGTTGGTCTGTCAGAGTTGTGCTTCTAAAATATAGCTGTTTCTATATCGCTGCTGTGGTATGGATAAAATACTTTCCTCTTGAGAAGCAGTTACTGAAATTTTTCAGTACTAGTAACCTTCTTGGGTAGGGCAGCTGCTTCTAGGGATTTTGAGCCAAGAAGCTGTGAAAAACAAAGCTGCTCTAGCAACTAAGGAGCCTTGGTGGAGCAGCGGACTAAAGCGCTGTTAAATAGCACTTAGATGCCAGCTGCCTGCAATTACTGCAAATTCAAATCTCACCAGGCTCAAGGTTGACTCAGCCTTCCATCCTTCCGAGGTAGGTAAAATGAGGACCCGGATTGTGGGGGCAATAAGCTGACTTTGTATAAAAAGAACACCGCTTGGGGGGGGGGCGGCAAAAGCCCTGCTAAGCAGGTATATACAAAAGTATGAAGGCTATTGCTTAACGCATTGTAAGCCGCCCTGAGAAGGGCGGCCTATAAATCGAACCAATAAATAAAAAATGATAAATAAATAAATAAATAAATAAATAATGACAGTACATGAAAAATTACCTATTAAAGAATATCTAACCAAAGTAGTTTTTTAAATAAGCAGAGGAACCAAGTGTTGTACTTTGGGAATAACTCAAATTTATTCCTCTTGAGATAATAATACAAAGTGTGTAAACAAAAGCTCACATCATTATTGCTTGCAAGCAGCAGTAAGACTTTTAGGGCTTATTAAGTTAAATGCAGTTACTTTCAAGTTCCCCTTCAACCTCAAAAAAGACAAAACCAGGAATAATTTTGGATTTGCTCACTTGTGTTGCAGAACTGTGTCCTCTGTACTATCAGAAATACAGAAAGATCAACCTTTGGTGGAAACATGGTCAATCTCTGCTTTATAGTTATGCTCAATTTTCTGTGCCAAATCAAACTTTGTTCTGTAACCTATATGAATTGAGCAATATGTAACACTCACTTAATGCAACATTTTATTCCAATCATAGGCTATTGGTTCCCTGAGGTGTCGCTTTGGAGGCAATACACCAGGGGTGTCAAACTGGCAGCCTGCGGGCCAGATGCATCATGCGCAGGCTATACCCACCCCAGCTCTGCAAAGGCAGAAAATGTTGTGATACGTCACGTGACACAATTGACTTTGACACCCATGCAATACACAATCCTTATGAGGGTTGCCTAAATACTTTTCTAGCTGATCACATCCATAAGGAATGACAGACTGCCTATCTCCTCCTTCAGCTTGTCATTCTATTAGTTGTGCTAACATACGCTATCTTGCCTTTCATCCCCTGCTCTAACAGTCCTTCCAGAAAGCAAAATTATTTTGGCCTAGTGATGCAGGAGATTGTGCTGCAGTAGTAGCTTCCAAACTATCTTGCCCAGAATATGCCTTTGTGAAGAAGTATTATTAGACTGAGGTATTGGGATTCCCGAGAGCAATAATTGCATCATTCTGAAGAAGCCAGCAAGGTCCTTCGAGATATTCCAGAGAAGCATTGATTACTTCCTTTGTTGCAGTAGGCATGCTTCTGGAATACTTTGCCACAATACAAGCCTGGTGCATCTGCTAGGGCTCTGCTTGATGGTAGGTGTGATCGTTTCCCTGTAAAAGGAAACAAGTACTTTGAGATTTAGAAAGAATACTTCTGTTGATGACAGTATATGGCTCCCTAGCTGTAAATGAAACATAAAATTAAGCAGGTTGCTTATAAGATATTAAAATCAGAATAGAACTGGAAGGGATCTTGGAGGTCTTCTAGTCCAGCTCCCTGCTCAAGCAGGAGATACTATAGACAAGTGACTGTCCAGATGAGTTACTGTCCGATCTCTTCTTAAAAATCTGCAGTGATGAAGCACCCACAGCATCTGAAAGCAAGCTGTTCCACTGGTTTACTGTTCTCATTTTTAGAAAATTTCTCCTCAATTTCAGGTTGCTTCTCTTCTTGATTAGTTTCCATCCATTGTTTCTTGTCCTACCCTCTGGTGCTTTGGAAAATAAATTGACCCCCTCCTCTTTGTGGCAGCCTCTCAAATACTGGAATACTGCTATCATACCCCCTGCCCCCCGGTCCTTCTTTTCTCTAGACTAGCCAAACCCAAATCCTGCAACTGTTCTTCATATGTTTTAGTCTCCAGGCCTTTAATCATCTGTTGCTCTTCTTTGCACTTTTTCCAAAGTCTCATCTTTTTTGTAATGTGACCAAAACTGGAGGCAGTATTCCAGGTGTGGTCTTACTAAGGTTTTATAAAGCGATAATAATACTTCACATGATTTGATTCCATGCCTCTGTTTATACAACCCAGGATTATATTAGCTTGTTTGGCTGCTGTTGCACACTGCTGGCTCATATTCAAGTGATCGTTCACTCCAAGATTCCTCTCACAGTTACTGTTTTTGACCCAGGTTTCAACTAATCTGTACTTGTATCTTTTTCTCCCACCTAGGTGTAAAGCCAGTGGTGAAATCTAAAATTTGTTACTATCGGTTCTGTGGGCGTGGCTTGGTGGGGGAGGTAATGTGACTGGGTAAGCGTGGCCAATTTTTTTTTTAAACTTTTAAAACCATTTTTTCTACAACCTCTTCGGCGAAGATGTTGTAAAAAAAATGCTTTCAAAAGGCTCTGACGATCCCAGCTGAGTTGCCTGATCGGCAGAGACTTTTTTTTTAAAATGCCTCTGAGGATCAGGCAACTCAGCTTGGATCGTCAGAGTCATTTAAAAGAAAAAAAGGATTTTTTTTCTTTTAAATGCCTCTGACGATCCAAGCTGAGTTGCTTGATCGTCAAAAGCATTTAAAAAATCAGGTAACTCAGCTTGGAATGTCAGAGGCATTTAAAAGAAAAAAACCCTTTTTTTCTTTTAAAAGCCTTTGAGGATCCCAACTGAGCCGCGCGATCATCAGAGGCTTTTTTTTTTACTTTTAAAAGCATTTTTTCGGCCGAAGAGGTTGTAGAAAAAATGCTTCTAAAAGTAAAAAAAAAGCCTCTGATGATTGTGCGGCTCAGCTGGGCATGTGGGGGGGCAGGGATTTTTGCTACTGGTTCTCCGAACCACCCGCCTCCATTGCTACCGGATCGAGTGATCTGGTCCGAACCGGGAGCATTTCACCCCTGTGTAAGGACTTGCTTTTTTCCACATTAAATTTCATTTAATTAAATTAAAATTAAAATTAATAATAGTTTACACATTAAATTTCATTTAATGTGTAAATTATTAATTTTAAATTAATTAAATGAAATTTAATGTGTAAATTATTAATAAATGTAATACATTTAATAAAATGTATGTTTCTTGTTTAAAAGTAGAATCCATTTCTGTATTTTTAGGAAACACATAAGTATCTTACATGAATTACGAAAATCCTCCACCATATCCTGGCCCGGGCCCAACTGCCCCTTACCCGCCATATACTCAACAACCATCAGGCCCTGGTCCGTATCCTGCTTATCAGCCGGGGCCTACGGGGCCATATCCAGCTGGTCAACCAGGCTACAATGGTTACCCACCATATGGATGGCAGAATGCTCCACCTCCAGGACCAGTCTATGCAGATGGACCTAAAAATACAGGTAATATAAATGCCTTGCATGAAATTGTATAGATTTCATGATTTATTTGTCTATCCAAGAGAAAGCCATTTTGATCTGGATGTATGATAGCATTTAATATATTTTTCAATCTTTCTGCAATTATATTCATAAAGATTTTATAATCAGTATTTAAAAGGGATATCGGTCTATAATTTTTTATCTGCTTTTTGTCTGATTTATTACAGATCTAATAAGTGGTTAAAATATGTTAATGAGAGCATGGTGTTCAAAGGATGTTTCTCAGTGTTGCTATAATTTTATCCAACTTGCCCAATTCTTTGAAAAAAAGGAAGGATTTCTTTTCTATGGAAAAGAATTTTGTTTTTTTACTATGTCTGTTATTTTTACCCTTATTTCTTCTCTATTCTCCAACTGATAGTGGTAAGGCTTGATCCAGAACTGGCCAACCTTTTCTCTACTCAGAAGTCAAGCAGGGTTAGACCTTGTTAGTATCTGAACAGGAGCCTACCAGGGAATTCCATAAGAGTGGATGATATTAATTAGGCAGCTTCAAGCAAAAATATTTACAGTTTGCTATGTGATATGAAGCAATGACACAATTTAATCTGCATATACTTTTATTATTATTAGGAGTACCGCAGTCCTTAACTAGATAATAAAATCCTTTTATAAACGGGGTTTTTTTTTTTTTCAAATATAATGTAACCAAGGAATATTTTACTGCATACATTTGCTATAAATTGGAATTGGAAGTGAATTAGTGTGAAATAAGCTCTAATACTAATCTTTATTTAAGTGTTTTTCCTATTTTAGTTGTAACTGCCTGACATTAAATCACTTGTAAAGGTAGTGATTGGATTATAGATTATATAATTATTGCACAGGAATTAAAGAGAATTCCAGGCATCAGTAGATATGAAAATATTCATGAAGACATAGAGGAGGGTTACCAAGACTAGTTGGTGCTTCTTAATAGATGGAGATCAAGAATAAACAAACCAAACATTTTGATTATTGCAAATTTGGTTACTGTAAATCTTATCTGATTCTTGTGGATTTTATTTTACAAAATTAACTTGTAGATAGTCTCATGCTGTCTGCCTCTCTTCCTCTCATCTTCCCGGTTTAGCTCCTTGTTCTGAATGTGTCTAACAAGATTTTTCCCCCCAAAATGTCTGATACCTAAGGAACACATGTTGCATACAATGTTGTTTGGTCTTGTCTGGCCTAAGGGACTACCTCTGAAAATTCTGCATTCATTCTTAATGCAGCTTGACAAAAACATATTCAAGCTAATCCTGTGCTTAGGTAAGAATTTAAAATGAATAATAAATTCTCATTAATGGCCATTCCTTATTTATTATTTCACAGCTGAGTTTGTTCTAAAAAAATTGTTTTACTACCAATATTAACTTAGGTGATCCTTTCTTTTATAGACCACATTTCAGAGCAGTTATTAACAATCCTTATTTCTTCTAAGCTTAATCAGTAACTAATAATCTATATAGGTGGAAATCAAACACAAATAGTCATGATAGAAGCAAAGGTAACGTACCTCATTTTTAAATAAAACCACGCAAATTGTTTGTACAGAATAAAGTGGTACTTGTCACAAACGTCAAAGCCTACAGATTAAAAAAAGCAAGATTAACTCTGACCTACAGCGGATTAGATAAATTTCCAAGGAGGCTAGTAGTTTCAGTCAAAGGGTTTTATATATGTGCATATGTGTTTAAGATTTCAAAACCAATGCAGATATGGCAGAACCAGGTGGGGCGGAGGAGACTTTAGCCTTAGTTTTTATTTCCAAGAAAAAAGGGACCAGAAGAGTTTGATACAAAGTGTCCATTTTAGATTAGTTCAATTACAGAAAGTTCGTGGTGCTATCTCTGGACTCAACTGAAGGGTTTGTGAATTTCTAGCCTCATTTTTTCTTAATGATGTTCCCACAACTGTCATAAGTCAGGATAAGAGAATTCTGATTGGCTAATTTTTCAAAATCATGAACATAATTTCCTTTTGCTTAAGTGAAGGATTAGTGATGGCTGTTTGGAATATAGTCACGATACTGAGTGACGACATATCGAAAGGGGAGTCTGCTTTGCATTTGATGGTTCATAAACAAGTAGCTAAAAGGAAGTACAGGTAGTCCTTCACTTACAATCACAATTGAGCCCAAATTTTTTGTTGTCAAGAGAGGCAAGTTAAGTGAGTTTTATCACATTTTACAACCTTTCTTGCCTCAGTTGTTAACTGAATCACTGCAGTTGATAAATTAGTAACCTGCTTGTTAAGGTAATCTGGCTTCTCTATTGATGTTGCTTGTCTGAAGGTCACAAAAGGTGATCAGATGACTTTGGGACATAGCAATAGTATGAACCACTTGCCAAGTATCTGAATTGTGATCACATGATCATGGGGATGCTGCAAAGAGCATAACTGAAAAATGATCATATCACTTTTTTCAATGCTGCTGTAAGTTTGAATGGTCACTAAATGAACTATTATAAGTTGAGGACTACCTGTATTCTATAACATTACTCTTAAAGTCTCTTGCTTTTAATATATTATGCAATATGGAATAACAGAGTTGGAAGGGACCTTGGAAGTCTTCTAGTCCAACCTGCTCCTTAAACAGAAGGTCCTATGCTATTTTGAACAAATAGCTGTCCAATCTCTTAAAAACTTCTAGTGATGGAGCACCCAGAACTTCTAGAGGCAAGCCATTTCCCTGACTGTTATCACTGACTAGAAATTGCTCCTTAATTCTATGGTTACATGTGAGCCTGTAGTACAGTGGACTAAAGCACTATTATTAACATCTGCTGCTTGCAGTTACTGCAAGTTCAAATCTCACCAGGCTCAAGGTTGACTCAGCCTTCCATCCTTTCAAAGGTAGGTGAAATGGGGACCCAGATTGTGGGGGCAATAAGCTGACTTTGTATAAATATACAAAAGTATGAAGGCTATTGCTTAACGCATTGTAAACCGCCCTGAGTCTCCAGAGAAGGGCGGCATATAAATTAAAGCAAAAAAAAAAAAAGGCAGAAGTTTGGGGTAGCCCACTACAAGCTTTCCTCCTTATAGAGTTGAACTACATCAGCCCATTTCCAGTCCTCTGGTAGTTCCCCAGTGTTCCTGGTGATTTGAAGTCTGACTTATACATCCTTGTACCTCTTTCTTACTTTAACCAGCCCCTCTCATTGTAGAGAAAATGGCAAAACAGAGAAAAAATAATACAGGAAGTCCTCGACATAATCATTTTTTAGTGATCATTCAGAGTTACAACAGCACTGAAGAAAGTGATTTATGACCATTTTTCATAGTTATGACCTTTGCAGCATCCCCATGATCATGTGTTCAAAATTCAGATGCTTGGCAAGTGGTTCATACCATTGCTGTGTCCCAAGGTCATGTGATCACCTTTTGCAACCTTCTGACAAGCAAAATCAATGAAGTCAGATTCACTTAACAACCAGGTTACTAACTTAACAGCAGTGATTCACAATTGGAGCAAGAAATATTGTAAATTGAGGCAAAACTCACTTAACAAGTTTCCCATTTAGTAACATAAATTTTGAGCTCAGTTCTGGTTGTAAGTTGAGGACAACTGGTACAGAAATATGAGTAACATTATAACAGGAACTGCAGCCTATTTTACAACTTTGACTGAAATATCACAAATGGAGACAGCTGTGGCACATTACTCTCTATAATAGTGTGGGTGAGACAGAATGTACACTAGTCTGTAGTAGCAAGGGCAAAGGTGGAGGACTAGATTTGCTCCAGAATATAAAGCAGAAGGACTTAAAAGAGCTTCATTCTCTATGGCTCCCCATCTTGCCTTGCATACAGAAAAACACATATAAACCATAAAATGGGGAGCCAGTGTTTCATCATCAACCATCACCAAATCCACTTCAACAATCTCCTACCATTCTGTCTGGGAAAATAATAGGATAGTCAGGGCACAACCATTATCACAAGCGCTCCAGTAGGGATATTCACAGGGACTGGAGACTAAAGCATATGATGAATGGTTGCAGGAACTGGGTAAGTCCAGTCGAATGAAGAAAGGACTAGGGTTGATGACATGACAGCAGTTTTCCAATTCTTTAGGGGCTCTCACAGAGAATAGGGGTCAACCTATTCTCCAAAGCACCTGAAGCAAGACAAGAAGCAATGGATGAAAACTAAAACATTTTATTAACAGATATAATTTTCATATAATAGACTATAAGTAATTACTAGATGGAAAGATTAGAGGTTGAACGATAGTGTTACTATGTATGCTTAATATAATTGGCATTAAAATGGAACATTGAAATATTGAATACTCTAAAACTATCATGTATATCAATACTAGGATTATATAAGTTTGACTAATGTAACAAGTATTATTATTATCATTATTATTATTATGGCTGATGTATCAAAATGAACTATACCCAGAGGCCACCTGTTCATGTCTTCATACATGTATATTTAAAAATAAAAATCCAATAAAACTTTAAAAGAAAGAAAACTAATCACTTGTTTCCCAGCAATCAAATCTGTAGAGACTACTGTTCTGCAGTTCCCTTGCAAGGAGAACTGGAGCATATGTGGGTAATCTTTCATCCTTCCTTGTTCAGAGAGATTTTAAAGAACCGGTCTACTTGCTGGTTCTTCAATCTTTGCTGTAATCATCATCTCTGCTTTTTTGGAAATATACTTACTTGACATGCTACCCCAAGAAGTCCCAGATTTTTATCTTTTTCAAACAGAAATAGAACCTATGTATTTTAGAAAGACCTCATTGCATTTATGTTGTCAGAATGTGGTGAAGTTATGCTTACTTATGTTTATGTTTAATTCTATTGTTCCATTTTGGTAAGAAGCAATTTACCAGTATTAACTGAAATTTGAGATTTCATATTACATGGGAGTTGACTTCCAGAGAAAGAAAATGAACTTCTGGTTGAAATCTGTAGCTGAAGTGGGAGGTGAAGAGACTGGCAAGCTTAGAATCCCTGCAG